ATCAAAGCGGATATCAATAACGGGCGCGGGAAGGATCAGCGTCCACTTCAGACAGCTCTCTCGTAACCTTCTCAGGTTCACAATTTTAACTTATTATTTTCTACCTACTCTTTTTAATGGCAGGGTATATTGCGAATATAACTTCAATGATGCTGAGATATTTGCAAAACTCCGAACCGCAGGTGCATGCGGTGGGGAACGAACGCGCCATTGTCTTTTACGGGGAGTAGCGCGTTCACCACCACACCATGCGGGTCTTTCGTTTCGCCTGTCTCTCAGCTAGTTCTATCGATCTTTGCCACAGCAATCACCCGTCAGTGGGTTTGATTTGGGAGACCAAATCGGCAACGAACCCAGTTAAGATGAGGCGTAGTTATAATCACAATTTTAACTTATTATTTTTTGCCTACTCTTTTTAATGGCAGGGTATACTTCGTAGATTCGGCTTCATTATCGGACCTGATGAACGATACTATTTCTAAGAGGATACCTGTCTCCTTCGTTCCGTTCCCCTTTAATGCTGTTGACCGATAGAGTTGTAAACATTTTTATAACGAAGTCACATAGCTATCTATTAAAGAAGAAGCATGTTACTCGTTCAGGCTCCATTGATGGACTTCGAGGTAAAACTCAGTGGTGAGTGGCAACCGTTGTTGAGGCGCGTGCCAGTTATGGAGCATAAATGTGTGTTACACGTTTTTTCTATCACTTTTACCATCAAGTTAGAATGTGTCTTGCTGAAATGATTCCTCTTACAGCTCACCGTGTCGTCGCACTACACCTGTGCCGGCTATCGATAGGGTCCACCGTGGAATGTTGCTCTCTGCTTTCTATCGAAGCATGACTCTCTTGTTTTATGTGGGCCCCAGGTTCCGAGAAGGTGATTTTCCAGTGTTTTTTTTATCTCCATAAATTCCCATATCCTTTGTCATTTTTGTGTGGTACAGTGGTCGGAGGTGCCCTGAAATACACATGAGATCGATTCCCCTCCTCTCTAACCCACCAAACCTTCCAACCCTCCGAGGTTGCCAAATTGGTACCAGACCTCTGGGAGGATACACTGGCTCGATACATCAGTAGGCTACGGAGAATCACTGTAAAGTGCAGATATGCATTCAGCCACCTCTAAACGATGCTTAATGAAGACGAATACATGACGCATTCCCAAGGGATTGATCAACGCCTAGAGCTTTAGCTTTTTATATCATTTTTGTAAATGGCATTGCTTGCCACAGTGGATTTCCAACAAGATATGCATGTGGTGTGTGTAAACTTTTCGTCATCGACAACACGTAAACTTTTGATGAGAACATTTAATCACCATTGTGAATAGCGATGTTTTCCAAATGGTGCTGTATTGGCTCAAGTTCAACCCAGTCGATAGTTGGTCATTTTTGTGATGAGGTCAACTTGCCCGCGTGGGATAAATACAGCACGCAACGTGTCGTTTGCTTCCTTCGATAACATGTGGAACTGGTGCTCTCCATCCTAGCTTCGTGTTATTTCTGAACTTTGTAGAACAATGTGAATATTTACTGTATGTCTGTTGTGGAATGCTTTTACTGCAATTCCGATCATTTATCTGTGACGCTAGAACGAATTCAATCTGTCGGTGCATGGAATACTCGTGTTGACCTGGTCGTCATCCTATGATTATGCGTTTTCTGCGTCATGTTCTAGTCGTTCACGTCGAGTGTCCGGAACAATCGTCACGTATGCAGATTTACGGGACATTTTCACAGGTGGAGGTCGACATTCCGCCTTGAGATGTTTCGAACTGCTTTGCGGTAAAACATCCTCTTTCATCTTTTATGTTTTGAAATTGGTGATATCTAGTCCTTTTTGGAGATGTGCTTAAAACAACTTCAACAGTTCGTCGACCTACTGATCCACTCACTAATACTGTGGTCGACGTTTACCTGGCCAGTCAAGTAGGCGTAAAACTTCTGATGTGCAGTAGTAAGCCACGTTTCCCTGTATTAGATCGGTTCGATTTAGGAACACCACTCAAGATGACCATCCCTACGTATATGCACCTCGCGGATGAACACGTTGGGTTCGTGAAATATCCGAAGCGATTTCTCTTATCGATGGAGTAACCTCTGAACAGCCGGTCCGTCTATATGCTCACGAAGCAACGCGGTTATCCCGAAATCGACCGGGCATGGATGTCGATAGTAACTGAGCGGACGATATTGTTGACTCTACTGCTGAAAAATCGTTCCATTTATCTTCGTAGATTACTAAATTCTAACTAAGAACGTGATTTTCAGATTAAGTTTGCACCTCATGTGTGCTCTCGCGTAGCATTTGTCAGCTTCACGGTAACACCATCACGTCTTGAAAGCCAGTGTTCTTCCAAGAGAAAGGCCGGATGTTAACAAGAAACGATGTGATTTGTTAAAGCTACAGGTTTGGGTTCTCTGCCAATTTATCAAATTTGGTAAGAAAAAAGGCATTGCTGGCAACGTGAGTTCCACGTACCGAAGCTTTGAAAAGCATCCTAACGCGTGCCGATACTCAGTGGTAAGTCGGTCTTTCAAATTGTTTTAACATTAATTTTGGGTATTTTGGATATTCCTGCTATGTGAAAGACGCTCTGCGCCGACCACTGTGATATTCATGACGGCTGTCAAAACGTTACATGCCTCTCAGAAGGGATGAACTCAACGGCAATGTTTCCCCAAGGCTCAAAGTATTTTTACCCTTCCTGACTTGTGTAGCTTTTTTCGGTAAATCGATAAGGGTATTTTTTTTGTTAATTCAGGATTTCTATGAAGAAGTACTTGATATACAGTTGGCTCTATTCGATTAAATGATTGACCATGGGCTGTCCATTGACCAGATATCTGGTTAACCCTAAGGGCCTCTTTTGCTTAT